ACACTTGAAAGTAGACTAGTTAATGTTTGCTATTCTGCTGCTTATATGCTCGGGCAACACCTGGTGTTGGTGTTGCCCGGGCAACGCCTCACCTCATTCATCTCCAAAGGTTGACAGGAATATTAACAATGCATTTGGAGCGAGCATATTATTTGGATAATCTACTCGCTACAGAACTCCCCCTCCCAGGGGATGAAAGGAAAAATACTTGATCAAGGAACTTAGCTGGTCGGTGAATTGTACGCCCTGCTCGCGTTACATAACCATCAAAGTTAACTTCCTCCTCTTCGCTGATGTCATCTAACAGGGGTCGTAGGGTGGGAGGTCGTACAGGATCGTCCGTCGTCGTAGGCGTTGAGACGAAGCCTGGAGCAGAGCAGAGAGCTGAGTGCGGCCGGAGTCGTGGAGCTATATGTGGGAGAGCGTGGCGGCTCGATTGAGAATTGTGAGTATCTGAGCTCGGGGAGCGAGAGCGTGGCGGCTCGATGCGGTCGTAGTCTGCTGTCTGCTCTGTGTCGAAGCTGTAGCGTCTTGGGTCGTTGGTGGAGCATTTAGATCCGGGGCGGATGGGCTCGGGCACCAGGACAATAGGAGGTAATGTAGGCACGTAATTAGGACAACGAGGGCATCACTGCTAGAGCTGAATTGTCCTGGAGGCGACGAAGAGTTGGAAACGCAAGCTGTAAGTCCTGTACTGCGCAAGGTGCTTGAGTCGGCAGAGTATCAGAATGCAGTGAACGTGTAGATGAATCTGACGAAAGAGCAGCTTTCGTGGGCGCCCCAGTAGAACAAGCAGTGTCCTAGCAGCGACGGAGAGTCGGCAGGACAGGCTGTAGATCCCACATTATGTAGTTACTGATGAAGCTGCCAGCTGAGTAAGTAGTGATCGTGGAGCAGCAAGCCGTAGTAGATGAAAATGCAGAGATGATCGCGATGAAAATCATAGCTGTGGCAAGGGTGTTGGCAACGTTCCATGACAGGTGGCTGCGGTCCACAGCAAGCAGCAGCCGTAGAGGTGCAGTGAGAATCCATGTTGTAGTCCGTCGTGGCTGGGTATCGTCGAAACTCTCTGGGGTCACCAATGTGTCTGTCTGTTTGTCTCTGTGTTTCTGTATTTGTCTCTGTCTCTTTGTCTGTATCTGTGTGTCTCTGTCTGCCTGTCTCTGTCTATCTGTCTTTCTCTCTCTTATAACAAAATAGGAGTGTCTAATGTGTGGGTGGTCGCCAGTGACAGAAGCTTAGTGGTGTGAAATACTATAAAAGAATAGTTACTCCTAACTCTGATAAACGTTCGTGGCTTGAAAAATCTTTGAAGCAGTGAAAGAATCGCAAAACAATTGGATACTCCATATTGTATATCATATGTATGTTAGTGCTTGATTTCACTCCGCTGTTGTGCTAAGGACTGGAAAGCCTTTACAAGGCAGAACAGCAGGGCCTGAGATGGTTGTCGTGTGAATCTCTGCCCTACGTTACTGCTTTCGGGGGTCTAACGGTGAGTTGATGGTTATCGTGAACATACTCGGGTTCTTTGACTGTGTTGTAAGAGGAACCGTTTCAACGGTCATCTATAAACATGGCTCCATTAACGTGTACTTAGGTTCACGACGTAAAGCCTTCATGGTGAGCTTATATTTTCATATATTTTTTTGTCTATGCTGAGAATTTTAAAATTATTATTTTATATAACATGCTTCAAGATTCATCCGTTCAGTGGGATTATTTTGTTATGTCTGCAGGAGAAAGTCAGATCATTTATAAAGTAAAAAAAATCACTATTTTTAAACAAGTCGTTCCTGTGTGTGTTCAATTATATATATATATATATATATATATATATATATATATATATATATATATATATATATATATATATATATATATATATATATATGTATATGTATATATATATATGTATATATATGTATATATATATATATGTATATATATATGTATATATATATATGTATATATATATATGTATATATATATATGTATATATATATATATGTATTAGTATATTTTGGTAGCAGTCTTTCCTGTAGACATATATTATTAAATATGACCGAAAAAGTAAGATTAATAATTCTAACACGAATTTTCTCAATCTTTCGTACATTTCTTTTCACTGTTGGAGGTAAATCAAAAATCAATTCTCCAAAATTCATTTTTATTTCTAGTCTGACGCGACACGAGCGCGTTTCGTAAAACTTATTACATTTTCAAAGACTTTAGTTTACAAATACACAACTGAATAGAACTTACGCATCTCCGACTTTGTTTTTATCTGCATTTGAGAGAGGTGGATGGGGTGAGGTGGCATTAATAGGGTATTAATTTCATCAACACAAGACAGAACAAGAGGTGGCATTAATAGGGTATTAATTTCATCAACACAAGACAGAACACGAAACAATGGGTATTGAATAGAAGTGATTGTAGAAAGCCTATTGGTCCATATTTCTTGATGCTTCTATATTGGAGCGGAGTCTTGAGGTGGGTAGAATATAGTTGTGCATTAATTGGCTGTTGATTGCTGGTGTTGACTTCTTGATGTGTAGTGACTCGCAAACGTCAAGCCGCCTGCTATCGCTGTATCTATCGATGATTTCTGTGTTGTTTACTAGGATTTCTCTGGCGATGGTTTGGTTGTGGGAAGAGATTATATGTTCCTTAATGGAGCCCTGTTGCTTATGCATCGTTAAACGCCTAGAAAGAGATGTTGTTGTCTTGCCTATATACTGGGTTCTTTGGAGCTTACAGTCCCCAAGAGGGCATTTGAAGGCATAGACGACGTTAGTCTCTTTTAAAGCGTTCTGTTTTGTGTCTGGAGAGTTTCTCATGAGTAGGCTGGCCGTTTTTCTGGTTTTATAGTAAATCGTCAGTTGTATCCTCTGATTTTTGTCTGTAGGGATAACGTTTCTATTAACAATATCTTTCAGGACCCTTTCCTCCGTTTTATGAGCTGTGGAAAAGAAGTTCCTGTAAAATAGTCTAATAGGGGGTATAGGTGTTGTGTTAGTTGTCTCTTCAGAGGTTGCATGGCGTTTCACTTTCCTTCTTATGATGTCTTCGACGAAACCATTGGAGAAGCCGTTGTTGACTAGGACCTGCCTTACCCTACAGAGTTCTTCGTCGACTTGCTTCCATTCTGAGCTGTGGCTGAGAGCACGGTCGACATATGCGTTAACAACACTCCTCTTGTACCTGTCTGGGCAGTCGCTGTTGGCATTTAGGCACATTCCTATGTTCGTTTCCTTAGTGTAGACTGCAGTGTGGAAACCTCCGCTCTTTTCCATGACTGTTACATCTAGAAAGGGCAGCTTCCCATCCTTTTCCATCTCGTAAGTGAAACGCAGCACGGAACTCTGCTCAAATGCCTCCTTCAGCTCCTGCAGATGTCTGACATCAGGTACCTGTGTAAAAATGTCGTCAATATACCTGCAGTATATGGCCGGTTTCAAGTTCATGTCGACTAAGACTTTTTGCTCGATGGTACCCATGTAGAAGTTTGCAAACAGGACACCTAGGGGAGAACCCATGGCGACCCCATCTACTTGCTTATACATGTGCCCATCCGGGCTCAAGAAGGGTGCCTCTTTAGTACAAGCTTGGAGTAGTTTCCTCAGAATATTTTCTGGTATGTCAAGAGGAATACAGGCTGGATCACGATACACTCTGTCGGCTATCATCCCGATTGTCTCGTCCACAGGTACGTTGGTAAACAGCGATTCTACGTCCAACGAGGCTCTTATCCCTGTGGCCCGTGTGCCCCGCAGTAAGTCAACAAATTCCTTTGGAGACTTCAGGCTGAAGGCGCAAGGAACATAAGGAGTCAGCAGGCCGTTGAGTCGCTTCGCCAGTCTGTACGTGGGTGTGGGTATCTGGCTAATGATTGGCCGAAGTGGGTTTCCAGGCTTGTGTGTCTTGACATTTCCATACGCATATCCAGGTTTATATTCCCCAATGATCTTTGGCAGGTGGCGTCCGGATTTCTTGGCGTTCACAGTTTCGATCAGTTTGTTGACCTTTGCTTTTAATTCGGCTGTAGTGTCCTTCGTTACCCTTTGGAACTTAGTTTGGTCAGAGAGTATGATGTTCATTTTCGCCAGGTATTCGTCTTTTTTAAGAATGACATATATTGGCGACTTGTCACCTCTCCTGACAACTATGACTCCGAGGCACTACACATCAAGAAGTCAACACCAGCAATCAACAGCCAATTAATGCACAACTATATTCTACTCACCTCAAGACTCCACTCCAATATAGAAGCATCAAGAAATATGGACCAATAGGCTTTCTACAATCACTTCTATTCAATACCCATTGTTTCGTGTTCTGTCTTGTGTTGATGAAATTAATACCCTATTAATGCCACCTCTTGTTCTGTCTTGTGTTGATGAAATTAATACCCTATTAATGCCACCTCACCCCATCCACCTCTCTCAAATGAAGATATAAACAAAGTCGGAGATGCGTAAGTTCTATTCAGTTGTGTATTTGTAAACTAAAGTCTTTGAAAATGTAATAAGTTTTACGAAACGCGCTCGTGTCGTGTCAGACTAGAAATAAAAATGAATTTTGGAGAATTGATTTTTGATTTACCTCCAACAGTGAAAAGAAATGTACGAAAGATTGAGAAAATTCGTGTTAGAATTATTAATCTTACTTTTTCGGTCATATTTAATAATATATATATATATATGTATATATATATATATGTATATATATATATATATGTATATATATATATATATATATATATATATATATATATATATATATATATATATATATATATATATATATATATATATATATATATATATATATATATATATATGTGTGTGTGTGTGTGGGTGTTTGTAATGTGCATATTAAGGAATGTGTAAGTAGCTCATGTCAGAGTGGGTGGGGAAGGATTTGTTCCTCTGGAAAAGTCTTCCATTGTGGCGGTCATCAAGAAGAGGTCTAAGCAGGTGTGCATTGTATTGCAGGCGACAGCTACCATATTCGGCATCATTGGAGCGCCTCTGCTGGGAGTCACAACCCTTGGCATGTTCTTCCCTTGGGCCAACGCCACCGTAAGTCTTCCATTCACTGTTGTACTCACAGCCAGTTATATCTCAATACCAACATGGTGGGCCTTTCTTATGTCACTTTAAGATTAATTAAGGTAGATTCCATACATGAATAAGAGTTCAGGCCTAATATAATTATTTAAAAAAATATTAATATCATGAATTAACAAATTAACGAATAACGATTTATGAACTAAATATGAACAACAAGAGTGTTCTGGCCACCCTTGGACCTGAATCCCAGACTTCGTGCTAGTGAGGATATAAACCACTGGATCACACTGATCATCTACCATTTTTAAACACAGATTTAGGAATTTCTTTCACTTCACACCAACGACAGTTTGATGAATATTTATGTATATATGTACAAGCCAACATAATACTTTTAATTGCATTTATTCGACAGGGAGCCTTTGTGGGTGCAATTGTCAGCTTGATCTTGACGTCATGGGTCGGGGTGGGTCACCAGATAGCCAGGTTCTCGGGCCAGATCAAGCTGGAGGTCATGCCCACCAGCACAGACGGGTGCCAGAACCTCACCATCGCTGTGCCCGCCTTCCTACATGACTCGTAAGTAGTTCATGTCTGTATACTTTAACACCAGTCAATTACGTATAATCACAAGCATGCATTTTCAACATTCATTAATCACCTTGATAACCGCAGTTTTAATGAATATTGTAAAAGGAACTACTAACCAGGTTATTTTTGGGCTGTACTTCGATATACAGTCTTATGTCTAAAAAATATAGAAAATAGTTATGATTCCTCTCAAACTCTTGATTTTGTGACCGGTCAATGATATTCTGAAATTTAATTATTGTCAATATCAAAACGGAGGAATTATTGTCTTCTCGTTCACATAAAGTCAGAAAACACATATTAATCAACATTAACATGTATTTATGCTAAAATATTTCAATAATGACAACGAAAGACTCTGAAATGAGTAGTTTTCAAGATCTACTATTATACTGTAATGCACTTTCACGAATCATCCCCCAAATGTAGTCCCCCATTATGTTTTCATTACACTGTCCTTAATAGTGGGATAAAAGTCCAATATATCCTGGTGTATGTTTTCTCCTTGTTCCTCCATATCATGACCTCCTTGAATTTATCAAGATGGTCATCAAAGTTATGGACCTGGAGAGCTATTCTGCGGCCCATTGTGCCGTAGATCTTCACCAGTCTCAACCAGTTCCGTATAGTTTACAGCGTTGTGATTGCCAAGGAAGCCACTAACCACTGCAACAAAGCTGTTCCAGGCTGCTTTATCCTTCCTGGTGGGATTCTTGGGAAATTTCTTGCACTCCAGGATCTTCTTTTTCTGTGGCCAGATGAAGCTCTGACTGTTGCCGCAGACAGCATCAGAAGTCTTGACTGTACTTGAAGGCTGCCGACCTTTTATGTAGAGTTCTGACAAACTGTTTCATAAGGCTCATTTCGAGATTAAATGGCAGCATCAGCACCTTTCGGGATTCACCAGTGGCTCCAACTTGGCGTTGTTCCTCCCCCCAGTCCACTGTTGCCAACACCACCTGTGGAGGTGCACCTTGGAATCCTTTCTGACCCACAGGCATAGAGAGCAAGACAAATTTGTAGAACCGCTTTGGAGACCCATCAGGAATGCCTCCATTTTCAAATCTAACCTCCGAGCTGGCGTAAGTGTGGGTAAAATGTTGGTGAATGGGCGATGTTAATGTAGTGGAGGCGACGCAATTGATTGTAAGTCGATGAAGAACGTAACAATGGAGATATTAATAAGCGTTGCTTATTTTTACCTCCTAGATCTTTGCCCTGATTTAGTTTTTAATAAAATAATTTATCTTTGCATAAAATAAATTTATAAAATTTTACCAAATTAATTATATGGAAATTATTAAAATTATAGAGACACTGTTAATGTACTGCTCAAAAGACCACATATGAAAGATCACATAGCTGTGATATTAAGGTTGTCTGAACAAATCCACAAGGGCCATGATGAGGGTCGAACCTATGCATGGGATGTTCCTTGTCAACTGTACCACGACATGGCACCATATTGTGGTATAGTTGACTAGAGCGTATTTGGGAACATCCAGCACGTAAGTTCGAACCCTCCTCAAGGACCTTGTGGATTTGTACAACAGATATATCATGTCATTGTGACTTCTGTGTGTAATGTTGTCTTCCCTAAGTAAATTGTCTCGGGTAAGGATCACCTGTAGGGTCAGTCGATGATTTATCCACCTGCATCCCGCCAAACACACACCGAAACTACGACGTTGGTACAACGTTCGAACATGTTTTAAACCAAATAACCAGTTATAACAACCAATATAGCAAGTTGTAACAACGTTCTAATACGTCATAAACATGTTAAGCCAAGATGTAACAACTTTATTACACGTTGTAACAAGTGGAAAATAGAGACAGTTACGGTTTGTGTTTCCAGGGCATGCCGAGAGGTCCACAATATGTATTGAATTAATAGATATAACTTTTGCAGCGAAATCACTAATTCATATCAGCAAATGCTGCCAATCCGCAATGAATTGACGATAGCCTAGCCTAATGTATTAAATTGAATATTCTCAATTTCAATATTTATTTTATTACATAAAATGTTCCAGTTGTTCATGACAATAAAAAAACAATTGCGTTCTTATATTACCTACTTTGTTTGAGGTAAAAAACCCACAGTGTAACCGAGTCCTGGAATTAACAGGTAAATGACACAAGTATATGATTGGCGTCAATAAAATCATCCCCATACATAACATGTGCATACTTTGTCGATTCTATATCCTTTGATGGATGTTTGAGCGCAGTATTTTAATGTTGTATGGGGCTGCATGTGGCGTTAATTAGTACCATTTACAATACTGTTCTCATATGTGTGTAGTGCTTCTACCACTACTACTCAGATAGAAATTGTCTCTATAACAGTTTTGTTATTTGAAACAAATTGATTAATTAACACCTGAAATATAAGCACACACAAATAAAACTGAGAGCCAAGCTCGTGGTGCCTCTTGCTGCAGGTGCTGTGTGTGTTTATGATGGCGTGGGACGCCTTGCTCCTTGCTCGTGCGTCGGATGCGCCAATATTTATATTAATAAATTTATATAATGTTTATTCATTAATGTGTAATTCAATTTTCTTTCTTTATTATGCACCCCATACTCATCCCGTGGGCGATGGTGTAAAGGGTTACAGAGGCACATAATCGGTTCAGAAACTGAACCATCTAGTTCGTTTAATTAAGCAAATAACAACCTTTTGACACTAGTTACACAATTATTAATGTTATATATACATGATCACATACTCCTGCATACACATACATATATTCAAATACATATATACAAATACATATATACATACACATACATATATATATACACATACATATATATACAAATACATATATACATACATATATATACAAATACATAAATACATACACATACATATTCAATCACCTACACAAATACACACAACAGAAATCTTTTGTATCACAAGTGATTCAACAAAAGGCTCACAACAGTCACTATACAAGGCACTTTACATCTATGGTGAGTCACACAGTCTTGCTAGTCTTGCTCATACTAGTCTTGCTCCACCAACTGGGCGGCAACTTTACAATCATGCATCACCTACAGTAAGCAAATTTTGGATACTTCGCTGAGATTTCGGGCAGCACATCATTATGAATGAAGAACTTACACATTTCTTGGACACCATTGATGGTGTTATCTCTGAATTCCGCGATTTGTTCACATTCCAGTATATAATGACGCAAAGTATGCGAATAGTTATGATGACAGAGTTTACATTTAGTCAAATCTACATCAGCAGATGTTACAACCTCCCATCTTTATTACACATTAATGGGATATCTCTATCTGTCTCTCTCTCTCAATACAATTAACCTTATTGCTGTAAACTTTTCAGTTCCCACCAATGGATGGGTGAGCGATGCATGATAGGCTTTACAGAATTATATGCAGCAAGGTTACAACAAATGTAAATTGGTTTCCTCGGAGTTGATTGTAATCCAGTTTTTGAACCCAATATGTGACACTGAAATCAATGCTGTCACTTGCCCACAATATAAGAACAGAATCCATATTGATTTAACTATACTAATTAAAACTCTTACTTTGTGTGGTAAGGCTTCTTGATATAACGACTATGTTAGTTTGATAAAAAATGTGACTAGACTGCTGACATATGTGGCAACAAATTATGCAACTGGCTTTTCAAGGCCGCAACTTGCTTAGACAACAAACGTTTTGGTTCAGTTCCTGAATTTATTTTGAACGTTCTTTAAAAGTCTGTTGATATATGATAAATAATGCAACTAGCTTATCAAAACCATAACTTGCTTAGTTACATGCATGATGGGGGTTCAATTCCCGAGACCATTATGTGCTTCTGGACACATGATTTTCCTTAGAACTTTGGAAAAGTTCACTACCTTTTCCACTACCGTTCTCAGGAAGGGTATGTGGGTGCATGAATGAAGAAAGTAAGCTGGCACTTGTATTTTCAGTTATAAAGTAAGTTCTATAGCTATAAGAGAGAATGTAAGTATTTTCTCTTTTGTTTATCTGTCCAAGGTTGGAGGCCAGACGTTCAGGACTAGTCTCCCCCAAATTTGTATATGAAACATGTGGCATATGGGAGTGTTATAGGATAGTCCGAGATGAGCCATGTGAAATTAAGAAATATTATAATTTATATAGGGAGCTCATCACCCCCGGCAATTTTAATTGAGTTAAGTCAGAAATATTGATTGTGTTCTATACAGTTGTTTCAGGACTTCATAATAATACATTTATGAAAAGTGCTTTGAAATAATACGTTTTCTGAGGGAAAGGGGTTGAGGGGAGAAGAGATGAGAGGGGGAAGAGCAGCAAAAGGAAGGGAAAGAGGGATGGATAGAGGGAAGATGGGTGAAGAGAGCGGGTGTGAGAAGGGGTATATGGGTGCAAGAGGAGAGAAGATGGGGGATATGGATATTGGTTGAGAAGAGTGAGGAGGAATGGTAAGTGGAGGAGAAATAGACTATCCAGGACGCCGCAAGGTACCTCATCCAGTATGGTTTCGCTACAGTGAGGGTGTGGAGCCAGGCGAGGTGCTGGCCATATACCGCCTGTCTTACCTGTGGTACTCCACGATTGGTTTCTTCACTGTGATCATTGTGGGGATGTTGGTGACGCTGGTGACCGGTAAGCAAGACGTGCGGGTCGTCGACCCTCGCTGTCTCTCCCCCGCCGTCATATGGTTCAAGAACTGGCTGCCAGGTCTCAGTGGTCTCGGAGAAGACTACGTGAGTATCTCCTTCAAATCTTTTACATAATGTTTCTGTCCCTTCCAGCTAGTTTCACTGAGAGAAATACTACGTCTTTATTATCACTTATTGTTTAAAACTTTAGCTAATGTGAGATTTATGGTCTCACTAGAAAGGATACATGGTGGGCCCCAGGTTTGTTTGCCTGTCTCTTTCTCAATCTTCCTCTCACTTCCTTTTCCCTTCTCTTCCTCTCTCTCCCCTACTTTCTCCTCCCTCACTCTCTCTCTTTACATATTAGTGACTATATAAACTACCATATGTACCTACGAATTCTTTACTGTAATATGTGTCACACGTTTTAAATATATATATCAAAATTATTATAAAAATAAACATACAATATATTAAAATTCTAAAAAAGGGGCTAAAACATTCTCGGGAAAATAAATCCTCGATTTCAAACAATGAATATCTCTTGAGGTTGTTTTAGGAGCAAATATTGTTTTAAAGATTGGGCAATAAGAGGGTCCTTGAGCAACAACCCACAAAAGTCAACCAGAAAAATATTGTGAGGCTACGCCCAAGAGTTCAGGGTCTAACCTAGAATAAACATTTCTAAATACTGATATTGATGTTACCAGTTGCTAAGCAATTTTGTTTTTGGAGTCCTGAGTAAATTCGTAGGTCAAACTAGACCTCTTGACTCTTTGTCTAAACTGTTACTTCTTATCAAACCCCCCCAAAAACATAAAAACGCTTTGAAATAGAAATGATAATGGGTGACATCCACAAATTAAAAGACAACAAAAAAGTCATCACCACTGACACACTTCAGGCTGATGTAGTAACAGAGGCGGGGAAAAAAACGAGAAACACTCATAAAAAATCCTAACCCAACGACTCAAAGAAGCAGCAAAACAACTTAAAATTTGGCGTAACAATAAGAAAAGTCAATAAGAAAGCAGCATATGTAAAGATACCTACGCACGAATATTTGAATAAAATCAATGGTATCCTCAGTGAGTACACAAAATTTCAAGGAATTACGAGGAGCCCTTTTGAAGGTCTTAAAAGCAAAGTGAACAAAACTATTACCGCAATCATCGCAAATAGAGGTTAAGTTCATATCGCTGAATTCCAAGGCGACTGTGTCTTAGGATAAGCCTATTACAATATTAGGGCACATAAACTAGGTAACCCACTATGCCTAATAATCAGTCAGGTACAAACTCCAACCTACCACCTGGCAAAAAGACTAAACAAACTCCAAACTACATTCACTCCAAAGCAACTATAGTCTAAAATCATCAGTAGATTTCTTAGAAATAATCAAGTATGCGCAATAGAAAAGAATTATTGCTTCACTGGGCGTTGAATCCTTATTTTACCAATGAACCGGTCGACACCACCTTAGAAATGATCCTGGACAGAGTATACAGAGACGAGAGCACCGCCAAATTAGACATACCCGAGCCACACTTGAAGAGCCTTCTCGAGGCATGTACAAAGGAAGCTCCTTTCATCAGCTCGCAAGGTAAAATATATCTAAAGATTGACAGAGTAGCAATAGACTTCCCCTAGAAGTGTTATTCCCCTAGTCCCCAATAGGAGTGAAACTCCGTTTCATCGATGAAAATGGTTATAGGAATATAGGAAAATTAGGAATGGCAGACAGTTTTTTTTTCATTATTTTCATGGGTAAAACGGAGTACTGACTCTCTCTTGGTGGCTTTTTCCCATGAAAATGGTGAAAATAACATTCTGCCATTTCTGGGTGTACTAACAACAAAAACAGGAACCTTCCTAAGCACCAGTGTATTCTCTAAGCCTACAAACATAGGATTATGCCTAAACGGTATGAGTGAGTGCCCCTTAAGATACAAAGTTAGTGTTCTCAACTCTTATATTCATCGAGCTCTTACCCACTGCTCTGAATGGAGCAACGTGAGTAGAGAGTTTGAAAGAATAACCCAGGTGTTGGTGAACAATGGATATAGCAACATAGAAATAAACACTACAATAAGACGACACCTAGATCGATGGTACGATCATGAACCAAGAACAGAAACTACATCACCTCCAATAAAATTATATTATAAATCCACCATGCATAGTGAACATAAAAAGAAGAACGAATAATGAAAGAATAATCCGTAAAGGAGTAGAAAACATAACTCCTAACCAAAACGTAGACCTAATCATACTCTATAAACAAAGAAGACTATCGATCTCCTTATCAAAAACAACCCGAAGCCGACGGCATTACAGCATTCAGACGTGGTATATATCTACATATATATAAAAATGGAAATGTTCGTTTGTTCAAAATCGCTAATCTCCGAAAGTTTTTCACCGATTGCCTTGAAATTTTCACACAACGTTCCATTCACATCCGGGCAGGTTTATATATATACTCTATATAGATGTCACGTCTGTGATGGGAAAAAACATGCTTTTTTTTAAAAGCTGTGTTTTTCGTGTGTTTTTCATGTGAGGGAAATTTTTGAAACCTTTTTACCGATGGCTTTGAAATTTTTACACAACATTGCATTCGAATAATCGAGTGTTTATATATACCTACATGCCTCACCTGTGACATAAAAAAATAAGCCTTTTCTGAAAAACAGCTCCATCTGTAGGACGTAGGAGCAACACACTAGGTAATCACCGAAAGTTCTTCACCAATGGCTTTAAAATTTTGACACAATGTTCAATTTGAATACATGCGTGTTTTGATATACCTACTATTTAGATGCCACACCTGTGACAGGTGAAAACGCGTTTTTTGGAAAACAGCGCCATCTGTTGCACGTAAGAGCAACACACAATATATAAAATATGTTACGATTCCATTTCAATGTTTCCGATTGCATTGAAATATTGAATTTTCATAGATTTTTATTTATTTTTATTTTTATTTAATTAATTTGTGTGACGTTATATTGGATTTTTTTTATTTATAAAAGAAAACCACAAAGTACAAACAGAAAAGCTACATACAAGAGAACATGAGTACATACATGATACACAATACAGGATACAGGAACACAACAGGCAAAAAAAAAAAAAAAAAATAAGAATAATCAAAAGTGAAACCTACAAGATACAAAGCATATAACAAACCCCAACACGGGCACAGAAGACAAGCTAAAAGCAGTACAGGACACAAGGCATTAATAACAGAAAACAGAACCACACAAGGAACCGTAAGTACAAAAAATACAAACAATTACAAAAAAATAAACAAAAAAATACACAAAAGGCACAAAAAACATGCAAACGACCAAAAGGCCTTAAGAACACAAGTACAAAATATATACCACCACCGCACTAAACACACTACTACAGCAGCACAATAGCACACCAGCCACGCATACTACACACAGAGCTGGAAATATAAAACCACACCCAACCACACAGAACATATACAGAAAGACACAAACACACACAAAAACCGGAACACGCAGGAACCGGAAAATAAAAAAAAACCCGACCCAGACACACACACGCAACCCCACCCCACCCTACACCCACGCACCCAGGCTCAAGTAACATAGGAACATAAGAACATAAGAACAAAGGTAACCCAACAACACACAACAGTCATCGAGGAGGATATTTCTCAGGAAACTGCCATGGCGGATACTTCCGTTTATAAGCCTCCCATATTAAATAATCCAGTTCGGAAGGTGAGCAGCCCTCACGACACCGCGAGTATACCATATACTCGGGAATCTCTACATCCGGCGGAAGCGGTCGCGCCCAACCACGGTACACAAAAGACGAAGAACCCGTCTTGGGCGGCATGGACACCGCCTCCGAGGAAGCAGGAGACACCGGAATAGCGGGCGGAGGCTGCCGAGGCGGCAACACCGCCCCCGACAAAGCAGGAGACAAAGAAGAAGAGGCACAGGAGTCTACAGTCTCCGTGGTGTAGTGGTAAGACACTCGCCTGGCGTTCCGCGAGCGCTATGTCATGGGTTCGTATCCTGGCCGGGGAGGATTTACTGGTCGCAATTCCTTAACTGTAGCCTCTGTTTAACGCAACAGTAAAATGTGTACTTGGATGAAAAAACGATTCTTCGCGGCGGGGATCGTATTCCAGGGACCTGCCCGAAACGCGACGCGTACTAGTGGCTGTACAAGAATGTAACAACTCTTGTATATATCTCAAAAAAAAAAAAAAAAAAAAAAAAAAAAAAAAAAAAAAAAAAAAAAAAACGGCCGGAGACGTGTGGGGCGGCAGAACCGCCGCCGACTAAACAGGGGACGTGGGAGAAGGCACGGAACTCTCAGAGCGCGTAGCTTTCTTCAAGACCATCACCATGTCGCCACGTCCACTCTCAACGCCGCAAGGGGGAACCACCTCCCATGGGGAACCGGAACCATCCGACGCGGGCGACGCACCCGAAGCAAGAGGTACCGGCTCCTACCCCCACAGCAGGAGCCACATCAGGGCCCCCACCATCCACCGGACCCACACCAGCACCAGATGCACCATCCTCGCATTTCACAGAGGAACAGCTCGCAGAAAAAACCGACACTCGCCTCATCCTCACATTCCTCTGCCCACGATCGAGGAGGCGAAGCACCCGCCAGGGTGCTTCGTGTTTGGGGACAGATCGTTGATCATCGGAGCTGTCACCCCCTGCAGGAGGTACCCGAGAAGAGCCAGAGGTAGACTGCCCCCCAACCAGGGTAGCACGACCCCGCAGAATGTCAGCCTCAACAACACAGGGGACGAGACTGTCACCCACAGAGGAGACAGGAGAAGGAACAGGCGTGGCCGTAGGAGAAGGGTCCAACACAGATGAGGGAGCCTGCAGAGACGTCGAAGGCAACAGAGGTGCAGAGTCAGAAACAGGTGCAGAGTCGGAAACAGGTGCAGAGTCGGAAACAGGTGCAGAAGCCGGTGGAAGCGACGAAACAGAGTGCAGGGGCGGAGTCGCACACACCACCACCTCGTCGTGTACACCACCGTTCACACACGCCGGGCCAACAGCCACCACCAGGCCAGCACGCGGCAGGAGAACCTC